CACAATTCCACATACCCTTTTAGCAGAAACATTGAAAACAGCACTATCAGCAGCCATTGACGAGAAACGACCGATACCCACATCAGATAAGCTTCTTGATGGCACATATTCCAGTAAAGAATCAAACTTGTTGCATGATTTTGCAGCATTCGATAACAACCACCTCGTCTTCAATGAAAACCCGGTTCTCCTGACATGCTGCATCTTGGATAGTGAGGTTTTGATGGACTTGTAGAACAAGATTAGGGCACTAAACGGACATAGAAGATCAAAAATGGAGGAAAATTTGAACACAACGAAGCAATTGAAGAAGAAGTTCAATAGAGATTTTTGTAGTGACCCTAAAACCCCAAAAGAAAAAAAAACCCGGACTGGGGTTTTTGAGTTGCAAAGGTCAAGTGCAAACGGGTCAAATTAAAATTTCAAGACAATAACGCATTTCGTAAAACAAATTATTTAGACACTCAAATTATTGTTTGTCTTTATTGAACATATGATAATGTGTATCTATTTTATATTTTATATGTGCATGTTTGTGATTGCTCATGACGTACATAAGTTAACCAGCTAAAGAATGTCACCTTCTTTCATTATACGAATTAGTCTGAGTAAGTCGTATAACCTTAGACATGTTTCAATTAAGAATGATGTGTATGGTTAAAGGAGATATTATATTTTAAGTGATAAACTAGTCGAGTAATGAACATTTGAGATTGTGCACGAAATAATTTTAAAAATTCGTTAAAAGTGTTTAGCATAAACACTTTATCATATGTTCAATTGTAGTTCAAGTGTCTAAGTGAAATTAGCTGACAAATCGGATATGTGACACAATTTGAAGGAAAATGGGCAGGAAGCTATATTGCTTGATCCAAAAGAGTTTGGGCTCAAAGTTGCCCGGCAAGATTTTTTTTGCAATTAAGAGCTTATCTCTGCATGGCCCAAAAACCCAAATTTGAACAATTTGAAGTCACTATGAACAAATCTTTCAAACACTTTTTTGGTTTTATGATCCCATCTTTCATTATCAATACCTATTAAATCCTCCCGCTTCAATTAGAGATCTCGGATTGATGCATTGAACATAAAAAAAAAAGAATCTCATAAAATACAATTATTATAGTCCTTATGCGATGCAAATTCAAAGAGTGTTGATATTCATTGTGATAAATAAGGGGAGCGGGGAGGTGGGGGCGGGGGGAGAAGGAAAATAGACAAGATTAGTTGGTTAATCCCTTCCTAAATTACCTTGTTGAGTGTAATTATCATGTCCTCTTTAAATAAATATTCGACATAAATATGATAATTATCGTTGATAAATAATGGTTTCTATTGCACAAATCTTTTACCCAAATAGTAATTGAAAGATATAGTTGTTTATGTTAAGTTGTAATTACTTTTATCCTTTTTTAGCAAATGATTCAGAGAATTTATCTTTGAACTATTACCGTCAAAGTGTATCACATTCTTTTATTATATGTACATTAATTTTAAATAAACAAGTTACGTTATAGGTGTTGAATTTTGGAACTATTTAAATTAACAATTTATCATTACCATTATATCAAAATATTTTGAAGGGTGACGTTCACATAACATGTCATATTTCTAAAAAAAAATAAAAATCTAATATGAGTCATGATAATTCAAAGAATACCCTAAATATTTATTAATTTAAAGTTGAAACTCCTAAAAATATAGACAATTTAAAATTTTATTAATCTATTCACTAAAAAAGCAACCAAAAACAACAAAAAGTTGAGAATAGTGTTTAAAAGAAATACACTTTCCAACGTCCCTATCTTGTTTATTTCCATTCATTATTATAATTTCTACTTAAAGAGGAAAAAAATGTGAAACTTTCCTTTCTTTTTTCTTTTTATATGGTGACCAAATTATACTTATTATTATTTTTTGAATTTACTGTCAACATAAATGTGTGTTGTTATTAATTTTTTTTTTAGATATATATAAGTCGTACTGAACCGACTCATCTGCTGAGCTAATATTTTCTTTAATTACTTTTCCTTATATTACAAATACTAAAATTAGTAAAAAAAAAGATATTACAATAGTGGTATATATATATAATATAATGTTGGATATATATAAATGCACAACAGATCAATGACGAAGACAAAAATAGACATACTTTTGGCGAAAGAGATTCAAATGAATCTTTTTTTCACCCTTTATATATACTCTACCTCTAATATTAATCAACAACATAACTATATATGATGAAGGATGGTCAATTGAATTTTTACTATAAAAAAATTATGATGATTGAAATACATCATTATTAGACTATTAATCGTATAAATATATATAACGTATAATGAACATGGATATGAAAATTTAGTCCAGGAAAAAAAGATACAATTACAATTAACGAGTAAATGTATGGCTATGACTTGTTAGTTAAGTGGAGGAAAATTAAAATTAATGAAGGAGTAGTAACTATGGGGCGTTATAGTTGGCATATTAATTAAAGACTTAAAGAGTAGAAGTATTTATTTATTTTATTTTATTTACCAAACCCAAAGGTATCTAAATTAATTATGTCATCCCTTTGTTTTGCACGGCAAAACGTTCATTAATTGTTCACACACCTAGATCCGTCAAAAAAATAAAAATCCGTAAAGTTTAATCCAACACAGTTATATTTTTATAACTTCAATATTATAAATTCTAAATAAAATTAAAAAATATTTGGAATTACACTATCTATGTAGTATTTCTTTGTTGGTAAGCTATAACTACCCTAGAGAGATCATGGACGAATTTATATGCAAAAATAATTAAAATATATGAAGTTGTTATCTCTTCGTAAAATTAAATATTTTTGTATAATATTATCTAACGTCTGTTGTCACCTATGCTACAATAAGATTAAATAATGCACTTGGTTGAAAATTAAGTTATTTATCTTAAGGACCAGAGATTAATTTCCATTACATATATTTTTTTTATTGATGTATTCATATTTTAGAAATTATAGATTCATCGAGACATAAAAATAACTTATTTGATTTTTTTCTCTATTTTCCCAAAAATATAACCACTTTTTACTTGGTAATTTTTTTAAAAAAGGAATATTTAAGTTGGAAATGGAGTAACATATTTTCCACAAAAAAATTATTTAATAAAATAAATAAAATTTCCCGACATTTGGCAGGTCGCAGGTACATAGATTTAAGTGGGTTCACATGGGATCAAATCCCACCGACCCAAGTAGCCAATACACAACACCGCCACGTGTTTTTCTCTCAATTTTATTATTTAGACTTCACACGTGTCCCAAAGCAAAGCACACCGATACCATACGAACTATGATGAGATGATTGAGATCAATCCGTCCTTAATTTAAAAAGTTTGAGTTTGAATCACTTGGAAATAAAAAAAAGAATAATCCTATCGAGAGTGTTTTCTATAGTATTAAACTCTACAATCCATGAATTCAAATTGAATCGAGTTTCAAGTTGAATACCGAACGTGAAAATTAACAAGAAGTGGGTTGGAACTACCAACCCAACCTGACCCGACCCGATAAAAAAGTAGTATAATTATATTGTTTCATTATTTATTTTATATATTTTGCAGAAAATAGTGGTAGTGAATTGTGGGTAGAATATAACTAAAGAAAATATAGTACAAAAAATAGTATGTGCTATCTTTTTTATATTAATATATTAAAAAAAGTCGAATAATTTTCACAATAACTTAAACATGTAAGAAAATATCACATAATATTAGTTGAAGGTGTTGGGTTTAATTTATTAAAAAATGTGGTTTAATATAGTTTAGTTATGTTCTAGGTGGACTACCAAATACACTAATCATGATTAGTTAGTATTGAAAAGGGACAAGAACTTATATTTATTTGAATGAAAAATCGTGTTAAAAGAGTTTATAATATGATATGACAAAATGATTTTCTTTTTTAGAAGATCCAAAGTTTTCTTAAAATGAATGGAGATCTAGTCACAAGAAAAAAAATGATGAAAGCAAAATTATTGACACGAATAGCAAAAAAGTTGAGATTAAATTAATTACATGCATAATAACAAAGATAAAATCTAGAGAATTTATTTAATTTAGTATAGTAGTCCCTACCTAAACAATTCAAAATTGAATGTACTGCGAAATTGCTATTATTAGAACTTTTCATATGGTTCAATTTAAATATAATATTTACCCTCTTCGTTTAAAAATTTAAGATAAAATTATTTTTTTTCACAATAGTAGTTATTTTTAAAAAATTACAAAAGTTCAATTATGAGATAATAACACGTAAATAAAATAAATATTTAATAAAATATTATGTTTCGGTGAGAAGATGTGAGAATTTGAATATAGCGGATTGTGAGAGAGGTCGGGAAAAATCGAAAAAAATATTAAAGAAAAGTCATTACTCGTTAGACATAGTATGAAATATTTGTAATTTATCAAGGACATAATTCTAATTAGAAGGATATTAAGATCGAGAATTAGCGTATTTCTTTTATACACTTTTCATTGCGGGAAAAATCGAAAAAAATATTAAAGAAAAGTCATTACTAGTTAGACATAATATGAAACATTTGTAATTTATCAAAAATATAATTTTAAAAAGAAATATTAAAATAGAGAATTAGAGTATAATTTTTAATACACTTTTTATTATTTATTTATACATACGTAAATCTAACCAACGAGCTCCGTTGCATTATGGTTTGTTGCTAATCTTATGTTTTTAACTTAAGAGCAAAAAAAATTACTACTAAAAAGATGACAACTTTAGCTTAAAAGAACTCTCTTTTTTCCTTCTCTCCCTCTTAGCTGTTGCTGAGAGAAATCAGAAGAGTTGCAGACTTGCAGTTTTTCTTCTTCTTCTTCTTGAAATCAGCAATTCCCCAATGCATGTTGTCCCCTTCTCTTCATCTCTCTGAAACCCCCCCTTACATATTTTTTATAGCCTTATCTCTTTATTGATTCTCACAATTCCTTTACATATTCACACACCCTTTTCTCATTTTCATCAGATCCATCACTCATCTTCTCAAAATTCTGTGAAAAATCCAAAATTTAGGCTGAAAAACTGTTACCCAAATGGGTTCTTGAAACATTGTTGTGAAGCTTCTGGGTTTTTTTTGTTGTTGAGGGGTGGGTTTTAATGACGATGAAAGTGACCCAGAAAGTAAAAGATTCAGAAAAAATCATCTGGGATCAGATGAGAAGTGTTTCTGGGTCACAAATTTCAATTTCTGGTTCACATAATCGAGCTTTTTTGAAGTTTATGGTATGGCTTTTCCTTTTTGCTTCCACTACCTATATGGTTTATACACTGAAGCTCGTTTCGTATAAATCTTGTAACAATAACGACGTTTTTAGTCGTAATAGTTTGTTTATTCACTCATCGGAAATCAATTCCAGTAAATCCAGTAAATCGATCCGGCGGGTAATAGTTAAGGAAGAAACAGAAGAGAAATTGGAAGAGAAAACCGGGTTGGAGCATATTGTATTCGGCATTGCAGCTTCTGCGAAGCTGTGGGATAAACGGAAGGAATATATAAAGTTATGGTGGAAACCGGAGGAAGAAATGAGAGGGATTGTTTGGTTAGATAAACCGGTGAAAACTTCGAAAGGTGACGGAGAATCTCTGCCGGAGCTGAGAATTTCCGGTGATACTTCACGGTTTGCTTACAGAAACCGGCAGGGTCATCGGTCTGCAATACGGATATCGAGGATTGTATCGGAGACATTAAGGTTAGGGAGGGAGAATGTGAGGTGGTTTGTTATGGGTGATGATGATACTGTGTTTGTTACTGATAATTTAGTGAGGATTTTGAACAAATATGATCATAATCAGTATTATTATATTGGAAGTTCAAGTGAAAGTCATTTGCAGAATATTTATTTTTCTTATAGTATGGCATATGGGGGTGGTGGATTTGCTATTAGTTATCCTTTAGCTAAAGCACTTGAGAAAATGCAAGATAAGTGTATTCAAAGGTACCCTGGGCTTTATGGTTCTGATGATAGAATGCAGGCTTGTATGGCTGAACTTGGTGTTCCACTCACCAAAGAACTTGGTTTTCACCAGGTTAGTTTAGTTGCTATTTCATGTTTTTTGTTTTTTTTTAATGTTTCTGGCTATAATGCATTTGTTCATGGGTGAATCTTGAATATGTGTAATAAACAGAGACTCAAACTTGGCCTCAGCCGACAAGTAAGCACTCCAACTTTGAGAGTGCACATCTAGACACCTAAACCTAGTCTCAATAGACAACTAAACACTCAAACTAGTCCCCATTGTGTCTCGTGGACACCTAACGCTGACATGACACATAAATTTTGGAGGTGTCTAGATGATCATTTTGTAGGTTGTAGATAATCATTTTGTAAGTTGGGGAGTTCATATTTGTCGAGGCCACGTTTAAGTGTTTGTTTATGTATTATGTATTTGTATGATTTGTTTTACCATTTTACAATGTTCTCCATGCTCATTCTGACAACATCTCAGGATCTCACATGCTGGTTTTGTAAATTTGGCAAGCATTTTCACAATTGGTAGTTGGGTTCTCTTAATGAGTCTTAAAAGACATCACATGTGTATCTGCCTAGTGTAAGTCACAAGAGGAGCCTGGTGACTTTGTAAATTATGTGATAAGTCAAAAGAATTAATTGGCACATGTGTGCCAAATTCACAGAAGAAGAAAAACAAGAGTGGTAGTAGAAGCATCGAGACTTCTTTCTATACTACTTGAAGATGACTTTTTTATGTGAAAGAAAAGGGAAAAAAAGCTCCTTTAATAAGCAGATTGAACTAAATCTGCTTCCTTGAAAAATATGGTTGTTTGTATTTGTTTTTCTCTGTTTAAATCTTTTTAGCATCCGGTTTGAGTTGTCCGTGAGAAAGTATTTATGTTAGTGATGAAATCTGGGATAGTTTGGGGTGGGATATGGAAAGTAGTAGTTGTTCTTGGTAATTGAATTGCTAAATGATGTTTTTTTTTTGTGTAACGAAAGATTAAATCAATTGCCGGATTCTGCATAGAATATCTTAAATGGTTCGTCTATATTTGTCGTTGTAAGCAGAAAGACCTTATAATCTGTGTGTTCTTGTTTATCAGTCTCTGGCCTGTGCAACCGCGAATTTATAGCGTTTTATTGTTTGACTGCATAATTTCACACTGTATTTTATACGTTGTTAATCATTTCAATAAAGGCCTATCTGATTATGACTTCTTTGGGATGCAGTACGATGTGTACGGGAACTTATTTGGTCTGCTAGCATCACATCCAATAGCGCCATTGGTAACATTGCACCATCTTGATGTGGTGGAGCCAATCTTTCCCAATGTGACTCGAGTGCAAGCTTTACGGCGTCTCACAGTTCCAATGAAGCTTGACTCGGCTGGTCTTATGCAACAATCCATTTGCTATGACAAAGCTAATGATTGGACCATATCAGTGTCATGGGGATTTGCAGTTCAAATATTCCGTGGAGTGTTGTCCCCCCGTGAAATAGAAATGCCGTCAAGAACTTTCCTAAATTGGTATAAAAGAGCAGATTACACTGCATACGCTTTTAACACGAGGCCTGTTGCGAGGAACCCATGCCAAAAACCTTTTGTGTTTTATTTATCAAGTGCCAAAATGGATCCTTCCAGCAACCAAACAGTGAGCCAGTATACTCGTCATCAAGTTCCTCATCCAGCATGCAAGTGGAAGACGACAGACCCTGCTGTTGTTGATCGCGTGCAGGTTTATAAAAAGTCTGACCCACATCTATGGGATAGGGTAAGTTCCTTTTGTTAATTAGCTTATTTTTGCTTCATAAACACCGAAAACGTTTGCAACCACAGTGTCTTTCAATTGTTTTCTTAGCTGGGCATTAGAATGATATCTGATAGGAAAAAGTGTATTATTCTGTTAAGGGTCGATTTGAACTAGTACCTTATCCCAAAACAAAGAAGAAAAAAGATGTACAAAATCTTGATAGCTACTTAAACAACAGAATCGGAGCATGCTAAGGCAGTTGCATTGGGAAAAAAATTCTAGTTAGTTTCTTTTATTAAGTTGGCAATTGTTCTCTACATATAATTGACCGGTGTATTTTGATATTTGGCAGTCTCCAAGGAGGAATTGTTGCAGAGTCTTGAGCTCAAAGGGAAAAAGCATGGTGGTGGATGTGGGTGTATGTAAGGAAGGTGAGCTCAGTGAAGTATGATGATGAATAACTCGAGCCTTTCTTCTCTCCTTGTATTCGCCCCTCAATTGATTCTCGTATGTATTTCTTCATTTGTTGAACTTAGGAAAAAAATTCTTGGATTCATCCAAGTTTCCTCTACTTATGACCACTATATTAGGGAAAAAGAAGAGCTAATGTAAAATATCCTAGGTAAAATACACTAGATATCCTTATCTATTAATGTAGCATAGTTTTTTCAGTAACTTTGATCTTTCTTGTTTCCAAAAGATTTCTGAGTTCAATTTTCTGCATTTTAACCTGGAGGTCTTATTCTTCTTCCTTCCTAGTGGCTCCCTCTTTCTTTTTTTGGTAAGTAGGAAACCGTCTATTTACCTTTATGAGGTAGGAGTATGGTCTGCGTACAATTTATCCTCTTCAGTAGGAGTTCGGGGGTATGTGCTAGTGCTTCCTCCATATTTTCCATATAAACTTTCTAATTGGACTAGAAGCTAGTATACTATAACATCAATTTTATTATATGATTAAACATTTCAACATCTTAGTGGTACCTTTCCACAAGGGTACTTTTATATTATTATTGTGTTTATGTCAAATATGTTGGACTATGCAATGTTGGACCTTAGTCCTTTGGACAACATTTGTCAAAGACAGTTCTTGGTCCACCTACAACATCAATGATTTGGTTAGTAAAATATTGAAGATTTGTGTCTCCATCAAGACTAGAAAAGTGGATCGTTTATTCATTATTTCATAAATAAAATGAAGTTATGGGGACACTTACCTACTTTTGGCTCTAGTTTGAATTAATGGTCTTTTGATTATTGGCTGTTAATTTTAGTACAATATGTATTACTTTTGTCAATAAGAAAGTATGGTGTTGCTTTGAAAAATATGGCAATTGTTCAAAGGCAGTGGAAGAAATGTCAATCGACATTCTACTATTCATACTTGGATTCAGTAAAAAGTCGTATCACTTGGCTAATACCTACGAAAAATTGAGGAAATTGCTTATTCATGTAAATTGGTCCCGAAATATTCAAAAATCCCTCTAAATATTGTTGTACTGTACTCTCAACTCTCTACAAATGGTTTTATAAAGTTGCAAAAAATTCGTCATATATTCATGGTTAACACATGAAAAATGGTGTAATTTCTATAAATTGGCTTCTAAATGTCCAAAAATCATTCTAAAAATGGAGGGTTTCATAAAGACTTTGCAAAAAATTCATTTGGAAGCCATATCACCAAAATATTCATTGACCAAAACATAAGAAAAATTGACAGAATCGTTTAATTTTTGTAAATTGGTCCTTAAATATAAAAAAAAATCACTCTAAAAATGGTCTTTACGTAGAAGCCTGCCTGAAAAAACTTTATGAGGACCTCCGTAATGAGTGGGGGAGCATTACGTATAATCCCGCCATTTTTTAAGGAACATTTTTGCATATACAAGCCACTTTTAAAAATTACGTATAATCTCGTGTGTATTAACCCATAAATTTGGAGTCCTGGGGAATCTGAAATTTTTTTCTGAAAAAATTTATGAGGACCTCTGTAGTGAGTTAGTGGAACATTACGTATAGTTCCACAATTTTTTTAAGGCATATTTTTATATTTACGGGCCAAATTTTAAGAATAACGTGACTTTGGCGGTATTTCGTGTGTATTAGCTCTTGGATTTGAACCTTGGGGCGCCAATTTTTTTTTTTTGAAAAAAAATTATGGAGACATCCGTAATCAATTGGCGAAGCATTACGTATAGTCCCACTATTTTAATGCATATTTTTACATGTACGACCCAACTTTAAAAAATTAAGCGACTTTGATGGTTTTTTGTGTGTATTAGCTCATGTATTTGTAGCCTTGGGGCGCCTAATTTTTTTTCCTGAAAAAACTTTATGAGGACATTCGTAATGATTTGAAGGAATATTACGTATAGTCCCACCATTTCTCTAAGGTATATTTTTGCATTTACGGGTCAACTTTTAGGAATTATGTTACTTTGACGGTTTTTCATGTGTATTAGCTTATGGATTTGAAGCCTTAGGGCCCCAAAAAAAATTTCTGGAAAAACTTTATGGGGACCTCCGTAATGAGTTGGGAGAGCATTACGTATAGTCTCACCATTTTAAGGCATATTTTTGCATTTACGCACCAACTTTTAGGAATTACGTGACTTTGACCTTTTTTTGTGTGTATTCATTCACCTATGGATTTGAAGCCTTAAGGCGCCTAGAATTTTTTTTCTGAAAAATCTTTATGAGGACCTCCGTAATGCGTTAGGGAGCATTACATATAGTCGTACCATATTTAAGGCATAATCTTGCATTTACGAGCCAACTTTTAAGAATTACACGACTTTAGTAGTTTTTTTTGTGTGTATTAGTCCATGGATTTGAAGCCTTGAGGTTCCCCAATTGTATTTTTTTTTTAAAAAAAAACTTTATGAGGACCTTTGTAATGAATTGGGGGAGCATTACGTATAGTCTCACCATTTTTAAGCATATTTTTGTATTTACAGACTTAATTTTTCGTGTATGTTAGCTCATGAATATTTTAGTGATATGACTTTCAGATGATTTTTTTTTGAAACTTTTATGGAACCCTTTGTAGGGAGTTTGAGGAACAGCACCTACAGTCTCACCATTTTAAAAGTGATATTTACGCATTTAAGAGCCAATTTAAAGGAATTAAGTGATTTTCTTTGTTTTTTCGTGTGTATTAGCTCATGAATATTTTGAGTATATGGTTTCCAAACGATTTTTTTGCGAAACCTTTATGTAACCCTCCTAGGGAGTTAGGGGAACAGTTCGTACAGTCTCATCATTTTTAGAGTTATTTTTGGACATTTTTAGGGGTCTATATTTTTTGTGTGTGTTAACCCATGAATATTTTGGTGGTATGACTTCAAGACGAATTTTTTATGGAACCCTCGGTAGGTAGTTGTGGAGTAGTACATATAGTCTTACCATGTTTAGAGTAATTTTTGGGCATTTTAGAGTCCTATTTACAAGATTTAGGCGATTTTCTCAGTTGTTTTTTTGTTTGTGTTCGCTCGTAAATATTTGGTGTTATAGTCTCTGGAAGAACTTTTTGCGAAATCTTTATGGAACCCTCCATAGGGTGTTGAGGGAGCAATATGTATAGTCTCACCATTTTAGGGTCTTAATTACAAGAATTAGGTAATTTTCGTAATTTTTCGTGTGTGTTAGCCCATGAATATTTTGATGTTAAGGCTTCCGGATGAATTTTTTGTGAAACCTTTATGGAACCCTCCGTAGTGATTTGAGGGAGCAGTACGTACATTCTCACTATTTTAGAGTGATTTTAGGAATTTAAAAAAGTCAACTTACAAGAATTAGGCGATTTTCTTAGTTATTAGTGTGTGTTAGCCCATGAATATTTTGGTTATATGACTTCCAGATGAATTTTTTACAGAACCTTTATGGAACCCTTCACAGGGAGTTGGTGGAGCAATACGTACAATCTCACCATTTTTAGAGTGATTTTTGGGAATTTAAGAGCCAATTTACAGGAATTAAGCGATTTTCTTAGTTTTTTTTGTGTGTGTTAGCCCATTAATATGTTGGTGATATGGCTTCCGGACGAATTTTTTGCGAAACCTTTATGGAACCCTTTATATGGAATTTGGGGAAGGATGTATGGTCTCACCATTTTTAGAGTGATTTTTAGGCATTTAGGAGCCAATTTATAGGAATTAGGTGATTTACTTAATTTTTCGTATGTATTAATCCATAAATATTTTGGTGATATGGCTTCAGCCGTGATTATTCTATTGACTAAAATAGTTTGAGAAGATGGCAAAAATGGTTTATCATCTTTGTTAGTATGTTAAATTGAACACTCAAAATTTGATTAATATGACAAAAGGTGCAAATACTTTTTTGACATGATTAAAATTGCTCTAGCGGTAAGGGACCATTTTAATGTTTTTTTTTCAAAGTAATTTGAGGTCAAAATTATAGTATAGTGGCATTATGGTATAATAGTAAAAAATATATTAGGTAAAGTGGCAAAAAGTCAAAGTTAGTGATGTGTGTTAGGTCAAATTAGTGGAATAGGAAAGTGGGGGTGGCAAAAACACAAACTTAGGGAACATGATTGTTTGTCCAAGGTTTCAACTACTCTTAGCATTTTTTCTTTAAGTTTTTTTCTTTTGATTTCTCACTCGATGTCTAGTATCCATATTAGAGTCCGATTAAATTTTGATTGGATTCACCCTTGAAAGTCCCATATTGGGTTGTAAAGTGCTCTCTAACAAAAACGACTCCGTACCTAGGAGGACTCAAACTCGAGACCTCTGATTAAAGATGAAGGAGTACTTACCATTCTACCACAACCTTGTTGATCTTTTTTCTTTATGTTATAAACACACAACATTGAACTCGGTCTACTCTCCACAGTTTCCTAGATACTCTATTTTATATTATTCGACTCATGTAGAATTGACATAATTTTAAAGAAAATTTTAATTCAAAGTATATTTGATTAAATTAACTTTATTAGTGATGTTTTGGAACTCTAAATTTGACAACTACTATATGAAGGGTAGTATGGAAAAAAAGTAGTAATAAATCTCTTGATTTACTACAATAGACGAGTAAAATGAAACGTCTATTTTTGATATAGGAGTTAAAGTAAAATAAAATGGAGGGAGTAGATATTTTTAGTCAACTTTGTTGGTAACAGTCTTGTTGGATGGAAATGTAACTATTAGTCTCGATGAATTCTTAGTTTCTGAGAGAGAATGAAAAAGAATGATATTTTTTTTATATTTAGAAATATTTATTTCTAAATTTCTTGTAAGTTCAGAACCTAGAAACAATTCATAAGGTTCCATTCTTAATGATTTTTTTTTATGTTTTACGTGATTTTCGACGTGCGAATGGACTATTCTACCAAATTCCCCTACAACCTCTCAGCTCTCACCAACACATATACCAGATAACTCGATGCAACAAAACTTGGATAAATGAAAAGATATCACCTAATGTTATTGTTCCGAATTTCCTACTATGTTGTGCCTCATTTAGACGACTAAACTGCTAAATAAGAGATTTTATTCATTTTAGACAGGCAATTGATTCTGAAACAACTTCTCTATCTCCATGA